TGTATTATCCTATTCAAGTCGTTTAAACATTATTCATGTACTTTATATTGTGTTTAGCATCTATCATTCCATTAATAATTAAATTCATATATCTTTCCTCATGTTTCTCTGTCTTATTTCTTTCCATCTACTTTATTGTATTTTGTTTTGTACCGTTATTGTTAAAATTTTTGTCCCATACAGCCTTAATTGTCTTTCTATCTCATTTTTTTTTCTATTTAATTACTTTTAGATGCGTTCTCTCATTCTCGTGTTATTGGTGGCTGCTATCGGACTGGCCACAGCAGAAGTGTACGGATCGTTTGGTTAGTACTTTGTCTATTTTAAATTGTTTCGTTTAGCTCTTCCTATTATTTCTTTTTTTTTTTTTGTTCAAATTCTATTGAAATATTCTGATAAAATATTTTTTTTATTATTTTAATTCTAATAAATGTACTAAACATAATTTATGAATTTATTAACGACTCCATTCAATATAGACTAGATAACTAATTCTAAAATAAGGCAGCTTTAATGATACTAATGAAAAAATTTTTTTTGATAATATCGCTTGACTTTTTCTTTTGACACCTTTCTCTTTCATTAATTATTTGCACCGCACTGATTCGTAACCACTCTGTATTCTAAAAGCCATTCACTGTCATCCCTCTTTAATCAGTCCATAACAAAAAGGGAGAAATGCCTGCAATAGATTCCTGATCAACGGTAGTTGTCAAATATTTGTTTCTCATTGTAAAGCTCATATCCACTCACTCTGCCTGTCTTTCTGTCTGTCTGGCCAAAAGTTTGTACACGTTTTTTTCTTCTAAGACATTCAATCTCGAAACAGTTGAAATTTAGCTTACATTTTCATAGCCGTTGACAATACACGAATCAATCCTAATATTTACCAATTAGTTAATATTTTAGCACTAAATTAACTTTGTTTTATATAGCAGAAATGGAGCTAAATCTCGTAATTTTCAGATAAATGACAGTTATAAGAGGTTTTCTCTCTTAGATAAACGTTTATATAAACTCAACCATTCAGTCTGTCTGTCGGTCTGGTAAAAAGTTAGTACACATTATTTTCTTCACACCCATTCTCTGACCAGAAATTTAGCAAAATTATTCATTGGCGTAGACAGTACACGAATCAATTTAGAAAACAACAATTAGTCAATTAATTATTGGTAATAAATCATTTTATTTATTTAAAAATAATAAAAAAAACTTCTACATTATTGAAATATATAATTGTAGTTGCAGAGTTCTTTCCCTAAGATAAAGTTGTTTTGCTTTTTTTTGTTTTTAAGATTTTCTTTTTTGTGTTTCTTCTTTTTGGCTTGCAAAATTTCTCGGCTTTAGGACACTGTATGAATGTATCTTTACCTTTACCCGATCCCTTAGTCGATTGGACCATTGGGACACCATGCAAGACTCATTGACCAGCTTTCGATATTCCTCTCTGTCTTTTGCCTTAGTTAGAACCTCCTTCAATGTCAGGCCCGTCCATTTTTTTATGTTGTCCTTCCATCGCTTTCACTGTCTGCCTCTTCTTCTTTTTTTTCCTGGTACTGTTCCCTGAAGGAAGGTCTTTGCGAGTCCGGAAGATCTTGCAATATGGCCATAGATTTTTAGCTTGTATTTTTTTACGATAGTTAGCAGATCATCATGGGGTCCAATCGCTGCATTAACCCTGTCTCCAATCTCTTGGTTTGTAATGGGTTCCTTGAAAATCTCACGATTTTCTAGAAATTTGAAGGCGTATGAACATCTTTGGGAATAAAATCAAGCTCAATTTACATAAAGTGAATACTGCAGTGTTATTATTGTTCAAATTAAAATCACTTAACTAAGCGATTTGGAACACATTCAGCGGGTTTTCCCGTACTTGACTCAAATGTTTCTTTTATTTAAATACGCCTCGTTGGGTATTTTCACACTAGAACTAGAATCAAATGTAGTATTTGAATACATCTCATCGAGCAATTTAACACAAATGTTTCTTTGTATTTAGTTAGCTGTTGAATCAATAAATTGATGTTAATGAGCGTTAGGCACACGTTTTGTTTTTGTTAAAGCCTGTTTCTCTAGGTTGTTTTTGTTAAACCCTGTTCCTGCCCAGCAATTAGATAATCATTTCATCACATCACTATCTTTGTGTCGGAATAAATCGCTCTGTCTGCTTACGAAAATCAGCGTCTACCAAGCAGTAGTTCTCTCAGCTACACATTGACCAACTATAATTCTTCTTGACGCTTTCAACAATGTAGTCTTTATCACGGGTTAACATGTTAGCTTTACAGCACTAAAAATGTCGAAGTTCTTGAGAGTGCTGGCAAAGCAAGTTTAGTAGACTCTTAGTAGAGACACTGTCTATTGTTCAGTGGCTACGTAGGGTAGGGCACGTATCCTGTGTGGATGACAGCAAAGATTTTTTTTTTGGGGGGGGGGGGCTAAAATGCGGTAGAGACTTTCTCCCCACACCTGCACAAAACGTTTTAAAGACCGATTCGGGTTCACAAAATAACTGTCAGAAGCACATTCAAAGCGGATCATCTGGAGGTTAAGTACAAAGGCTGTAAAATACTGATATGTAAACCTGAATCTTCTGGCTAAATGTATTAGTAGGCACAAAAATAAAAACACTGCAAAGAACTTGACTAATCAAGTTTCAGTTTCATATAACTTTAATGACTATTAACTTTAACAATTCGTCACTGTAACAAATAGCGTAGAAGACTGTACAATATCTGTCAGTTTACAGTTAGCTATACTTTGTTGCAATTCATCTCTTCACTTCGTTGCAATTCATCTCTTCTCAACTTGCATCGAGCCGTATCCCACAGAACAGACCAACGACACACTTCCCAGTGTCGCTCCAGGTCTCCCAAAGCTGAACCAAGTCGTACTCAAGTCTACCGAATCAGAGCCGTACACGTCTTACATCGACTGTAACGGCTCAAGTTCACTGTAGTTCGCTGTATAGACTTTCACGACAGTAGTCCACTCCAGTTCACTCTACCCTAGTTAACTTGCATCGAGTCGTACACATTTCTCTTCCACTGTCTCGCACAGTAGACACCAGTAACGAAGACTGTACCGACGATTCTACCTACGACTCTATACGACTTCCTATGACTGACTTTCACATTAACTCTCCGGCTTATATAAAGTCCCTAATCGCTCATCCAAAGTTGCACAAACACTGCTAGTATCTTCTGGAACAACACGTGAGGATACGTCCAATCCTGTCTTTGTTTATGCATGTAGATTCCAGAAAACACTCGCTGCAGTTTCATCTTGCCGGGGTCACAAGTAGTGACCTCTATCTGTCGCTGGACATTGCTAGTACCTTCTGGAACCACTCGTAAGGACACGTCACATCCTGTCTTTGTTTATACATGTACATTCCAGAGAAGACTCGCTCCTGTGTTATCTCGCCGGGGTCACACGTTAACCTCTTCCTGTCACTGGTCATTTGTAACAATACATATCTGACATAAAAAAAAATCTACATCCGAGGACAGGCATAAAACAGAGAAACGAGACCTTAACCCTGCTTTCTGTGACCATTGGACTAAGATAACAGTGTCAAACTGTGATTACACATAAGAAACAGCTTACATCTCAAACTATATTTAATTAAGATTTAAACGACTCTTTCTATTTTTTTATATATATATATTTTCTTTCAGAACTTTAGCGTTCAGATTTGTTTTATGTCCTACATTTATTAGCGTTCAGATTTGTTTAATGTCCTACGTTTATAAGCGTTCAGATTTGTTTTATGTCCTACATTTATTAGTGTTCAGATGTTTTTTTATGTCCTACGTTTATAAGCGTCCAGATTTGTTTAATGCCCTACGTTTATAAGCGTTCAGATTTGTTTTATGTCCTACGTTTATAAGCGTTTAGATTTGTTTTATGTCCTACGTTTATAAAAGTATAGATTTGTTTTATGTCCTACGTTTATAAGCGTTTAGATTTGTTTTATGTCCTACGTTTATAAGCGTTTAGAAGTGACTTTATTGCTTTAACATAAATTTCTACGCGTTTTTCGACTTTTGGGAAACTCGTCGTCCTGACGAATCTAGGCCTACATATCTTTATGCAAACATTTATTTCAGTATAATTTTTTTTTTAATAGCATTACATTTATTTCAAGGCCTATATTAACTCTGCCTGTTTGCCTGGTAAAAAAGTGTGTTCACGTTTTATTTCTCCCACACCCATTCTCGAATCAAGTTGAAACTTTGCACAATTATTCATTGGCGAAGACAGCAATTTATCAATAACAATACTAACCCATTAATCAATTAATAACTGGTAATAATTTTTTTGTTTGACACCAACAAAGAAAATAAATTCTAAAGTATTCATAGATTTAGCTTAATATGTAGGACTATTGTCCCCTTAGGATAATTGTCTTCATTATTTTGTTCCAAAACCATGCTCGGGTCAAGTTTAAACTCAGTTATTTATTGTACTCACAAAACACAAATCCAATTAAAAAATGTACAATTTGGTCAAGTAATTATTGCTAATTAATCATTTTATTTGTATATCGAAAGTGGGGAAATAATTTCTACATTATTTGTAGATAAAATCAGGAGTGTAGAGCTCTTTTCCTTACATAAACATTGCTGTTTTTATTTATATTTTAAAAAATATTTCTGTATTCTACTTGTTTCTTTTTTTATTTTCTCCAGATAAGTCGATTTCCGCGGATGTAAACTTGCCATCTTGTTTGGAAAGCATATACTCCTCTGCGAAAAGTTTTTGTGAGTTCATTTTAGTTTTTCTGGCGTATGCTGTAAAGAAATTTGGAATACAGGCAGTCTTCGCCAATTTCTCTGATTCGATTTTGGGTAAATTGTCAGAAGGCTTTGGTTTGAACTTGGAAAACATTTTGCCAAAAGTTTTCGAACATATGGATTCAAATCTTGATGCTGATAATTATCTACCGGCCCAAGACATACTAACAGGTGGGCTAACAGGTGGGCTAACAGGTGGCCTGACAGGTGGCCTGACAGGTGGCCTGACAGGTGGCCTAACAGGTGGCCTAACAGGTGGCCTAACAGGTGGCCTATTAGGATAACTTTTGTAAGACATTCTTTAATCATGAACTGCTGGTATTTCGAGATAATGATGTCCGCAACAAAGTACACATGTAGCTAATTATTATTAATGCTTTTGACAAAACAAAAAAAAAAAAAACACAATATAACCATTTTTTTTCCCTTACTTTAAATCTAATTTTCAAATGTTTTAATTCGTTCTATTCTTTTGAAATCTGTCACTCTAATAAATGCTAAGCAAATACTTACACATCTGAGTTGTTGAATTTTTTTACAGTGTTTAATAATTGTTATCTTTTGTGTGGATTCCATCTTATCTTATCTTAACTTATTATGTACAGACTTTCAAAAAGATGATTACGTCATATGCTTGCAACTATGTCAATTTAGCGATGCATGTTAATGAATTTAACTCTACCAGATCGTTTGTTTTGCTGCCTGGTTTGGGCAATCCAATCCATGCTGTATTAGCAGTAGAAAAATTAAAAAAGAGTATTTGTACAACTTTGTCCTAGCATATGGAATATGAATCATCCAAAACATTTTTAAAAAATCTTTAAAAAATATGTCAAAAGTCAAGTATTATATACATAACCTTAGAGATTGGACCCTACGATTAACTGCCAAGCCACAGGTGGACCCAGTTGAAAAGGGGGGCGAATTTTAGTAGAGAAATTACATAACTTTTACACAAATTAATTCTTTATTTATGTTAATAATGTATACTAATTATTTAATTTACACCACTCTCTAGAATGTTAACCAGTTTGGTTGGGTGGAGGGGGGGTGATTGTATTCATCCCTTCAGCCCCCTCCCGATTCTTTCGAGAGGAAAGGCGATCCAATTAGTTACATATGTATATGATAAAAGCTACTTATTGATATTGTAACCGTTCTCAGGGCCGGTCTTAAGCCACTGCAACCTATGAGGTCGCAGTGGACCCCGCGCTTTCATAGGCCACGCGCTAATTATATGTGTAATTGCATAATGATGCAAAATATACAAAAACGTCGTGGAAATCTCCTGAAGTTATTAAAATCTCCTAAAAAGAGAGAATACTCAAAATTGTTATTTTGGGGTGTAATTCAATATGGGATATACAAATCTCTCGAAAAAAAAAGCCTTGTCAGCTTTCACATTTAAATAAGGGCATTTAGACGCCATGACGCCAGGACTAGTTTCTATGATGCTGGAGCAAGTCTAAGTAAAAAAACAAAAAACAGGCATTGACAAAGTTCACCATTAGATGCTTTAGTCTAAGACTTAAACGTTGGCATCAATTTTTTTTTAAAGATTAGTTGCGATTGTACACTTTCTAGCGAAGCGCAATTTAGCTTTCAGAGGAACCATTGAAAGACTTGAAGAGCCAAGTAATGGGAATTTCCTGGTCTAGAGAATTACTGGCAAAGTTTGATCCAGTAATGGGCGAACATCTTCGACGTGTTACCAATGTAGAAATTCGTGATCGTTACCTGGGAAAGAAACGAACTCATTACTGTAGTAGCAGTTGCTGTGGTGTATTCTATCCTTCGAGACATCAAGAATGCAAAGTATTTTTCAGTGATACTGGATTGTACTGCAGACATAAGTAAAGATGTCATTAACCATGGGTGTAGCCAGGATTTTTTTTTGGGGGGGGGGGGGGATTTTTTTTCTCCCCCTCGCCCCCCCCCCCCCCGGAAATAAATTATATATATATATATATATATATATGTATATGTGTGTGTGTGTGTGTGTGTGTGTGTGTACATAATTAATCTCTATTACATTCTGACCCTTCATTCTTTTCGAAGACGTTTATTGTGCCCTAGAATAGGTTCTTCCTGGAGTTAGTGAGAAAATTGTAGACTCCTCGCCCTTTCCAGCAATGGATCTGGAAGAGCGCTGAGAGCTCCCCCATAGCGGGGCGGAGCCCCGCAGCCAAGCACTATTTCTGGTATGCATATGCATATTCTGAGGTACCTACAGTGCATTATTTTGCTATTGAAAAGTTTTATTTCAAAAACCTAATGTGCTATTCTTACTTTCTTATACCCTCCCGCGCTGTTCGACGCATTTGCTGGCAAGCTGTTTCCACAAAAATCTGTCACTGGTAATGTCCGAAGCCAATTACCACCTGCTCTGACAGGAAAAAGTGGCGCCAAGTTGAACTAGGTTGTCATCGCAACTCTTATTTTGCATACTTCATTTTGTCGGAGAACATGTCCCGCAAACCTCATGCGACGCTCTGTCACAATCTTACTAAGGGGTCGACTACCATTTCGGCATAGGATTTCATTGATTTAGACCCGATCACTATAACTGACTCCTAAAAACCGTCTTAGCCATCTTTGTAGAGCCACATTTAGTGCTGTTCAATTTCATTGCATTAATGGAGCCCAGCCACTGGTATACATGTGTAACTTCTCTTGAATACGATTTTTGAATTAAGTGACTATTTGGCTTTAGAATCAGCGCTTCTCAACCTTTTTAGTACCTCGACCCCTTTTTGAAGTCGGTCAATATGCGGTGACCCCCAGCCGTATTTTTTTTTGGGGGGGGGGGGATAGTCATATATAACATCGAAATCAAAATTTAAATAACTGATATGAATTGCCAATAGTGTATGTTTAATCCAGAAGCACTAACTATTTCTGCTAAAACCTAAATTGCAAATAAAAGATGTTGTACCTTCATGACTCGGTAACTTTTCATTTGCGTATTCACTATATTCATGATTTGATAATTATGTGATAATTTGGAAAACATGGTAATAAATTCCAGCAATTGAGTTATTTTGATCACTACAAAAGTGTTGCGACAATTGTGAAAAATTGGACACGTCATTTCGATGGTTGAGCTTTGTTTCTGTTTGAATAGATTAGGATTTATAGGGCAGTCTTTGCAAGATCACAACAAATGTCATCTTCTGCATCAAATCTAGTTCTGTATATAACAAGTTAAAAAATACTGTTTCGCAAAGATTTGGTGTTGGAACTTTAACTCGTTGCTGTAGTTCACATACATCGTTAAAAAGCGTTTCAACTAAAAAGAATTGTTTTCGAACTTGAGTGTGAAATAGCAGAAACATTTTTAGATTCCTCAAATTCATTATAACGCTTTGAAAACAATCGAATGTTTATTTAAAACACTAGAATTTACAAAACTCAAAGGAATAATATTCTTCGATGATTTAAATATGTTCCGATGACTTTTGGGTGACTCAATCTGTACCAAAAGTTGAACACCCTAACTAACGACCAAGCATACTTTGACCAACACCTTTGCAGACACTACAAATGTTTTTGGACGAGATGCTATTTTTTTCCAGAAAAAGTAACGTCTGTATGATATAAGATAAGATAAGAATTAGCATTTTTGTCAAATACATGAAGTGCTGTAGTGGACGTTTCAACAGGTTTAGAAAGAAAGAACTCGTATTTAAAATCGCCATCATTTCTATACCCTGGCTTTCTTGTCATCTTTACAAATATACTACTGTATATCCTTGTAGGAAAAGCTGTGATGTTTGTAAACAAAATGATGTTTTAGTTTGCAAGACCTTATTGACTCTGAACTTTTCTTAACGTTCTAGTGCTCGAGGTCCATGTTCACGGTTTGTTCCATAATGAAACTATTTCCTTCAACAACATGATGGCGTATTGCTAATTATAAACTAACGTGCTTCTCGTAAATTTTCACCCTATAAATTATTGAAAACAAATTATTACGTAATGTTTATGCTGCGTCATTATAATGTTTAAAATGAATTAGATTAAGTTGTTTCTTAACATTTATCCTTCTATTACAATTATAGTTTTTCTTTAAGTAAATAACTTTTTTTAAAAATGTGTACAATGTCGTTTTTCTAGAAGAAAAATATATTTTTCTGATGGTTATAGGCGACCCTTGGTAAATCGCCAATCGACCCCAAGGGGGTCGCGATTCACAGGTTGAGAGCCCCTGCTTTAGATGTTATATTGAAAAGGGAAGTTTTATCGTCAAAATTATCTGTTGGGGAGTTTTAAACTAAAATATATCTGAAGTTGTTGTTTTTTTTTTAATTCAAAACCACATTTAGCTACGGTCATAGAATTTGATGACTGTAGTTTGCTTTAGAAATAATATTGAAGAGAGAGGCTTTCAACCTTAAAACTCTCTATAGGGAGATTTTAAACTCAAAACTATCTTGAGGGGTTTTTAACTTTTAAAAAAGCCATCTGGAGGAGAGGGGTTGAAACTAAAAAAAAAACCCAATGGCTTGGCTACGCTTAAGGAATTTTAGTGTGTAATTTGCTTTTTTTTTATATTAAAGAGGTATTTTTTAGCATCAAACCCTCTGAAGGGGAATTTAAACTCAAAACACCCAATAAGCTTGGTTACGCTCATAGCATTTTGATTGCGAAATTTGATTTTTTTTTTATTTTGAAGATCTATTTTTTAGCTTCAAATCCCGCTGGCGGGGGGTTTAAACTAAAAACCCCTTTGGCTATGCTCATAGCATTTTAAGTGCGTAATTTGCTTTTTTTTTTATATAGAAGCGGTATTTTTAGCTTCAAACTCATATGACGATGGGTTTAAACTCAAAACCCCTTTGGCTACGCTCATACAATTTTGAGTGTGTAATTTGCGTTTTTATATTGAAGTGGGTTTATCGTAAATTTTGGAGAGGGGTTCAAAATCAAAATCTTCCTTAGATGTGCTCTTGGAATTTTAGGATTTTCGTTTGCATTTTTTTTTCGTTTTATAGAAGAAGGGGATTTAAATGCAAAACCCCCTGGTAGGGGGGTTTCAAACTCAAAACTCCCTGGTAGGGGGTTTTAAACTCAAAACCCCCTTGGCTGTGCTATGGCAAGTGATGGTTTAGTATTAAAACTTCACCTAAAATGAACAAAATTAAAGCAAAAGATCAGTCACTAAACTACGACACCCCACCCCACCTTGCGGGGGGGGGGATTTTATTTCGGGGGGGGGGGGGGTTTGAACCCCAACTAGTGAATGAGCTGAAGAAGTACAACTGGACAGGACTTATGCGATGTGAATGAGCTGAAGAAGCTTGAATTAAATGTTGAAAATATTATGGTATTATATTAAGGTTATGGTAATGGTGCGAACATGAAAGGCGGTCAATTCAAAAACGACTTTTAAATATTAACAGCAGAGTATTCTTTACTTCATGTACGTGTCATAATTACAACCTGGTGCAAAACTTGACCTGATGCGTTAACCTTTTTTGGATTTATTCAGCATCTACAAAGAGATTGTCAT